TGGTGGCGAGACGGCCACCGCGAAGCCAGAATCGTCTGGGGCTGCGGCCCAGGCCGAGAACCCCTTGCAACGGGTGCAAGCGGCCATCGGCGGTCTCTTTGTCCTGGTGCTGGGCCGTGCCCAGACGCTGCACCCGGCCACGCGCCGCCTCATCGCCGGCGGCATCTCTGGTGGGTGGAGTTTGTGGAGTTTGTTTTTGTTTGAGGCCCGCGGCGCGCACGTGGGGTGGGCGCTCGATTGCGAATCAATAGGCTGCCTATGTCTCTCATGAATTACTCGAGCGTCCTCCCTGCCCTCCGCTCGCGCAGGCGCGGTCTCCAAGACGGCCACGGCGCCGCTGGAGACGCTGAAGATGAAGCTGGTGCAGGGCGGCAAGGTCACGGCGCTGGAGGCGGCGCGGCAGGTGCTCATGACACGCGGCGTGGGCGGTTTCTTCGCGGGCAACCTGATCGACGTGCTGCGCACGGTGCCCAGCAAGTCGCTGGAGCTGGCGGCCTTTGACACGTACAAAAAGGCGCTGGCCGACTGGGGCGCGCTGCCCGACAGCGCCATTGGCGCCGTGGCGGGCGGCCTGTCGGGCATCACCTCCACCATCGCGGTCTACCCGCTGGAGACGATCCGCACGCGCATGGCGGTCAACGGGCACGGCTTTTTGGAGACGGTGCGCCTCGTGGCCACGCGCGACGGCTTCCCCAGCCTGTACCGCGGCCTGGACGCGAGCCTGATCGGCGCCGTGCCCTACACAGCGCTGCGCCTGGGCCTCTACGACGCGCTCAAGTACAGCTACATGAAGACCACGGGGCGCGAGCACCTGAGCCCGCAGGCCTCGCTCGTCTTTGGCGCCGTCGCGGGCGTCGTCTCGGCCACCGCCACCTTCCCCCTGGAGGTCGCGCGCCGCAGGATGATGGTCGGCGCGGCCTACCCAAACACGGCCGCCGCCATCGCCACCATCGCGCGGACAGAAGGCGCCGGGGCGCTCTTCAACGGTGCGGGCAGGGAGGGAAGAGGGGGGGGGGGGGGGGAATTTGTCTGTGTAGGGTGTTTGTCGATCGCCTTTACTTTCCCTGCTGCCATGCCAGACACCTGCTATTGCTGGTGGCACACCTCCAAGCACCAAACCTCATCCAAGCATACCTCGTTCCTCCTCTCACCCCGCAGGCGTCTGGCTGGCTCTTGTGAAGCAGGCACCGCAGTACGCCATCGGCTTCATGGTGTACGAGCAGTGCAAGCGCGCGCTGGCGCTCTGAGGCGGCGATTTTACACGCGCAGGGCCCCCTTCGTGCTCCCTGGCGAGCCCCCCAAAACACGCACACCCACCACTCCTCCTGACATTTCAACGGCACGCCTCGGCCGACAGCCCGACGCGCAGGGGTCACATATACGCACAAGTTTTTTTGCAAACGAGTAGTCCAATCATGGGTTCAGTGTTTCACGAGATCAGTCAGTGGACCGACATTCATCCTTGCAGCTTGGCATCCTGCGCCCTGCGGTCTGGAAAAGCCCAGGTACCACCACACAGCGCCCCATGTACAAACAATTGTGCGAATTTGTGCGCGAATTACGGGCCAGACGCGTAATTTGTGCTCACAGAAACCGATTTGAACCAGACTGCCACCCTCCTCATACACGCGAAGCTCACCAGGCAGCGCGCGCCCTGGACCCCAGGTGGGAGAAGCTCCCGCGACCGGAATCACCCCTTAACTGCGGGGACTGGTCGGCCGTACGATATCCACACCTCCACCCCTGACCGACAGGCCAAAAGACCCTGAGAGCCTCACAAAGTCGACATCTTAGCCAGCTGGGCTTCGCTTGCGGGACTTTTTTCGCGTCCCGACCGGCGCAGCAGTTAATCGCCGCGGGAAGCTGGAGCTAGCGGGGGCAGCAGCAGGGCCTGTGATGCGGGGTGAGTCAATGGCGTCTCGTCAGGGCATATCGACTGGTTGAGGTTGTTTGGGACTTGCGACGGGGGGTGGCGCCTGGCGCCGTCAAGGGACGGGGTAGGTTAAGGGGCAGGGAGCCGGAGCTGCATCACGACCGCTGCTGCCGCCGAAGGCTGGGCCCTCGCCCCTGGGCAGCGGACGGGGGATGCATCGCGACGCCACAACGCCTCAGTCCTTTCTTGAAGGAATTAGAGTCTGATGGGGCCCCGTCCGCGCTCCGGAAGCCCTCCTCCCGCTGACGGCATTTGACTCTCCTATCACCCCATTCGCGCAGCCTGCACATGACGATATCATGTGGACCTGCGCTTTAGCAAAGAACACACTCCCTCGGAAGCTCATGGTGCGTCGACAGAGTTTAAGAGCGCTTTGGAGGAGTTGGTGGGGTCTGCGTTGGGTCAGGGCCGGGTGTGTGCAAAGGGTTGAGACTGGGGAGGTGTGGGGCAGTCGGGGCCCACGGCCTGGCGTGGGAGCAGTGGCGTGGTCCGGGGCAAGGGCCGGCCTTGCCAACGATGCAGTCCCCATGTGGCAATTTCAAGCCAAATCCTTGTGCCTGTGCGTGCCGTCACCCTGACTATCGCTCCTTGTTGCCACACCGTGCCAGGCTGAATCGAGCAATGAAACCGAGAGCATGAAGCCGACAGAGGAGAGCAGCACCGTGTCGGACCAGGCGCCGGCTTCGGCGTTTGCGGCCGCGGCGGTGCAAGCGACGGTGGCGTCGCCCGAAAACTCCTGCTCCTCTGCGGACGAGCAGCAGCGCCCGACCCAGCAGGACGGGGGCCAGAGCCTCAACCTCTTGTCGCTCTCGGAGGCGGACGCGCTCAAGCTGGCCTTCATTCTGCGCCACGCCCGGCTCTTAGCAGCAGATGTACGTTATGTGTGGGTGTGGTTGGGGGGGCGCTACAAGGAGTGAAATGGGTGGACTCGGGTGGGGGGTGCGTGCCTTTGAGTATTACAAGGCTTTGATCCCTTGACATCGCATGACTTCTGGAGAGCTGGAAAAGAGTCTGTACATTCACAAACAGTGTTGAATGCCTATCAACCACCGCACTCAATTCATCCTGTGCGTGCAGAAGGAGCGCAGCGCCGGGACCGAGAGCAGTGGCCGTTCGACCCCGGCGACGGCCCTGCCGGCCTCGCCCGGGCCTCTCCTGGTCCGCGCCCCCTCCGCGCCGGAGCAGCAGGCTGCGTGGGCCGCGGCGCCGGCCCCGAGCCTCGGGCTGGCGGCGACCTCTTACGCCCCCGCCGGCAACACCATCACTACCGGCATCCCCGGCCTGAAGGGCACCCTCCCCTCCGGCGCGGGCCCCAGCTTCCACCGCGCCGCCTCCATGCCGACCTACGGCCGCGGGCTCGACGGCTCCCGCGCGCTGGCCGCGGCCGCGGGCGCCCTGCCGCTGCCCCACATCGTCATCCGCGGGCACACGGTGGTGCCGCCGGCGGGCGGCGCGCCGGCCCACAGCGCGCTCCCCCGCGCGGCGAGCTCCACGCTCCCCCCCATCCCGGGCCTCGCGCCGCTTCGTGGAGATGCGGGCCGCGGCGCCGACGCGCCGCGGCCGCCGCCTGCGGCGAAGCGGCGCGCGCGACCGGGCGACGAGCCGCGGCGCTGGAGGCCGCGGCGGCCGAGGGCCCGGGCTCGCCACTGGGCGACGACTCGGCGCTCGCGGCGGAGCTCCTGCTCGGCTTCCGCGAGCAGTCGCTCAGCCTGCCGGCCCGCGCGCACAGCGCGCCCCTGCTCGAGCGCCCGCCGGGCGCGGCGGGAAAGCGCGGCGGCGCCGCTGCGCGCCCGCGCGACGAGGCCGGCCCGCGGCGCGCGGACGCGGGCGCCGAACCGGGCGCCCTGGCCGCTCCGGGGGTCGCCGCCCGGCGCGCTCGGCCCCGGGCTCCGCTTCCCCAGCGCCTTCAAGCGCGCGGTCGGGCGTGAGCGCGGGCGCGCTCCTGCCCGCGTCCGGCTCGCCGCCGGTCAAGGCGGAGGAGGCGGAGTCGCGGCGCGGCGCGCGCGCGCGCCGGCGTCGGCGCCGAGCCCCACGCCGCGCGGCTCGCCGCCGCAGGCGGGCGGCGGCTCGCGCGCTGGGTCGCCCGGGTCGCGCGCGTCCGCGCGCGTGCCCGGGCCGCAGGGCCCCGCCTCGTCGCGCGCGCCGCCGGGGCTGACGCGCGAGGAGCTGCGCCAGGAGCGCGGCGCGCCGCTGGAGCGCGTGGAGCGGCCCATCACCAACGGCACCTACATCAACCGCCTGCACGTGACGCAGCAGATGGCGCAGCTCCTCTTCCCGCAGCCCGAGTTCTGCACCAGCCGCGGCGCGGCGCGCGAGGACGGCCCGGCCAACTTCAACTCGCTGTTCAAGCACCGCCTGACCATCGTGGACGAGGCGGGCGAGGCCTGGCCGGTGCAGTACGAGGGCTTCATGTCCAGCGGGCAGCGCCACTTCCGCCTGACCTCGGGCTGGAGCGGGCTCATGCGCGTCCAAAACGTGGCCGTGGGCGACACGCTCGTCCTCGAGCGCTGGACCGAGGACCGCGTCACCATCCACCTCCGCATCGAGCGCCAGCGCTCCTAAAAGGGGGGCGGTCCGGTCTGAAACTGGGCACGACTGCCCTGACAGCCGTCCCTGGTTCCCCTTTTCCCCTCAGCATCCCCCTCTTCATTATTGATGGTTTCTTTTTGACCCGAGGGCCGCTAGCGATCCGCTCCCTCTCTTTTTCCTGACGCGCGCGCCCCTGTGCAGCCCGCACGCAGCCTCGACCGATACGCGTCCTGACCGGATCCCCCATGTCGATACCCCGGATCCCTTTGCCGTCTGACCAAGCACTCCCTCTCTGGCGCCGCTGTGGCCCTCCTCCTCAGACGGGGCGGGCAATCAACCTGGTCATGCAGTCCCATGTCCATCTCACTGTAATCATACATTCAAGCCGCAGCACCCTGGAACAATGTATGAGGGAGGACAGGACCTTGGATGGGTGCCCCTGGGTACAGTCGAGCAGGCAAAAAACGCATCTCTCTCAGCACCATAACCCATGATAATCGCTGGTGTGGCATGGACAAGTCCTCCGCCACCGGTCGGTGCCCGGATAGCTCAGTCGGTAGAGCGCAAGGCTCTTAACCTTGTGGTCGTGGGTTCGAGCCCCACTTCGGGCGGAAGATTCTCCTTTTTGTCAGCGTTTTTTTGTGCGTTTTTTTGGTGCTACTGCATTTTGTGCTGCTGTATCGTTGTCGACGTGAGCAAGGGCTGTGCAGACATGTCATTTGTACCATATTTTGTTCACACCAATGGCGCTTTTTAGCGTAGCCTCGGGCATGTGCCTTCCCAAAATACTGGAGCGTCCCCTCTCAAAACATAGACAGAGGTTGCATGCTATAGCGATGTAAAATTGCCAATCAATTTTGATTGAAAAGCATGGCAGGACTTGGTATTTGTGGCTCGTGACTCAAGTTGTTACACATACATCTTCGCACCCTTGTTCTCGTACACGGAACGAAATGGGCGCTGGATCCCAAACCCCGCAAATGGCGTCTGTCGCCAGCTGTACATCCCAAGCGAGCTCAGCACCCGCGCGCAGGAACGCCAATATCATTTAAATATATTAAGCTCCAACCGCCCTGTGCCTCTCGTGGGAGTCGGTCGGCGCGTGGGCTCATGCCAACGCGAGCACCATGGAGGTCACGGCCGTGGTCGAGTGTCTTCGAAGCTTGAGCGCTCAGCACCGCAGCGCCGACCTGTTCCAGGTCCAGAAAAGCCCGGATGAGAGCTCGGAGCACCCTGGATCGCACCTGCTGGGCAGGGGAAACTCGTGCCACATTCAAGCGATCGCGCTGGCAGTCTCCTCGGATGCATGCTCCATGCTGTCCAGGAAGCATGCGCTTCTCAGGGTGCGTGGGCCATGCGGCGCTGCATTGAGGAGCGGGGACGTCCCTGCGCATATTGAACCGCTTGCTCGAGCGCTCATCCCGCTGCTTATCTTCGCATACGCAGCTGACCAGCACGGGTCTCTTCATCATGGACCTGGGCTCGCGGCACGGCACCTTTGCCGACGAGCAGCGCCTGCGGCCGCGGGAGTGGCGCTGCGTCTTTGATGGAGAGACCATCTCCTTTGGAGGGTGCGGCGTGCGGCGTGCGGGGGGAGGCCGCGGTGATTCAGGGCTTTCTTGCCTTGTTAATTCCCCACACGTATCCACCTCCTCGGCTTGCTCGCAGTCCAAAAATGATCAAGATCAACGGCAGCATGATCCCCAACCCCTGGGCCTTTTGCGTCCGTCTGCGGTCCGAGAACGATCCCCCGCAGCCTGCTCTCGGGACGTGGCAGAGCACGCCGGAGCGGCGCAATGCCTGCTTCGTGAGCCCCTCGCAGCGCGCAGCGAGCCTGCCGGCGGCGGCCGCCACACCTGCCAGCAGCGGCACCGGCCGCGCCTCCTTTCTACGCGCGAGCCCAGGTGGGCAGTTGGGGGCGTAAAAGGGAGCGTCCTGCCCTGCCGAGCGCTCGAGAATGTGCCTGTGTCGCGTGCATCACATGACTGCTCCACAATCGCCATTCAATCGCAGAGCTGAGCACCGCCGGGGGACTTGGGAGCCCTTTTGAGGTACAGAGCTTGCATCGCCGGAGATCCCTCGGCCTGCACGAGGAGCCAGCTACTGGGCGTTTGCGCCGGCAGACCTCACCGTTGATAGACTTGACCGAGGTGAGGTCGTGGCGGATAGGGCCAGCTGCTTTCTAGACTTTGGCAGCTGCTTGGCAAGGAACAGAGGTTCCTCCACTTGAAGAGTCGTTTCGAAAACCTGGAGAGAATCAAAGCCTTTGTGTAGCTAACAGCCTTGTTGATTCCCAGAGATTTCACAGGCCCCCGCACCTTTCTGGCTCGCAGGATTCGCCCCGGCCGACAAGAAGTCATGGCTCTTTTCGATCTAGGCTCCCACTCTCCCCCTTGCAAACAAGCCCTGGACCTTTAGCCTCAGTGCGACTGTCCCTCTCGGCGGCGGCCGAGCCACGCCGTCGAGAGCCACAGGTGTCCGAGGGCCCGGCGGCTGAGGATGTATCTTTGGCGCCTGAAGACCCACCCGTGGCGCCTAGAGATTCGCCTGCAGCACCAGGCCCGGCACAGGGCAGGCGCCGGCCGCCGCCGGTCCTGATCCCAGACCTTCAGCTCCGGCGGTCGCCGTCGCCCGCCAAGCGGCGGTCCCCCACGTGTGACGCGGTCCCTGGCAACTGTCTCTCGACTGGAAAGAAGGCACGAGCAGACGAGGCCCTCCTGGTCCCAGGGTCCATCCTTGTCGAAGCTGCGCGAGCAGAGGGAAGGCCAGAGGAAGACACGGTCTCGGCAGGGGCCGCGTCTGCGAGTGCTTCTGCGCTGAGTGCCGCCGCCAGCCCGCCCAGCGTCTCTGACCGGGCTCCGAGGCCGGCGCATGAACTTGCCCAGGCGTCGCTGCCGCACGCACACAGCGCCTCTGCGCGAGAGCCTTCGAGCGCTGCTCACAATCCGTCCCAGCAGACGGACAGCCCCGTAAGTCTTCTAGCCAGCCTGTCTGCCGACTATACATGCACCATTTGCCAGGTGTGTGTTGGGCGGGTGCAGAGGGTGGGGGAATGCGGAGCAGGGATTTGCTGTGGGCGGCATTGATGACCGTTGGGCAGTCGCAGTCGTCTCCCCTTTGCCACGCAATGCTTGCTGGGAGGCCCTGCCGCACCATTTTCAAACACGGTATGTGCGTCCTTATCCTAAAGTCTCCTCTCTATCCACGTAGGATCTGCTTGCGGTTCCGCACGTACTCAACCCCTGCGGCCACTCGCACTGCGGCCTGTGCCTGGCAGAGTGGTTCAAAGCCACGCCCGAGGGGTCGCGACCCCGGTGCCCCACGTGCAGGTGAGGCAGGGCACCGTAGTATAAGGTTCCTGCCTCTGCGTGATTTATTGTTGATCTCGTAAGTGCGGACCCGACTCGATGCACGCTCGCCATCGCAGAGCCGAGTGCACGGCGACGCCGGTGCGCTTCCGCGGCAGCGACGCGACGCTGGCGCTGCTGGCGAGCAAGGCGCTGTCGGGCCCCGAGCGCGCCGCCTGGGAGCAGCGGCGGCTGGGCTGGGAGCAGCGCCGGGCCGAGCTGGAGGGGGCGCTGGCCCGGGCGGGCGCGCGACCGGCCCCCCGAGGCGCCCGCGGCGCGCGCGGCGGGCGCGTGCGGCGCCGCAGGGCCCGTCCTCGCTGGCCATCCAGCACGTGCTGGCTCGGCCGCGCGCCGGGCAGACCCCGCGCTCCAGCATCCTCAGCTACGTGGGGGTCACCTCGGTGTCCGTGGACTACACGCCCGCTGGCAGCGCGGCACGCTGCGAGCGCTGCGGCCAGGTTCTGCCGGAGCACAGCCTCAGGATCGGGGCGGCGACCCTGTCGGCCCACGGCGGGGCCATCGCCGGCGCGCACCGCAAGCTCTACCACCGCGACTGGTGCGATGGACGGAGGGTGGACGGAGTTGCATATATAGGGGTGTGGCGGGCACAGAGGTGAATCGCTGGTCGGTCCGGTCCGCAACTGTTGTGCCTGCTGAGCAGCGACCTTTCCCCACGATAGACACCAGTCCACCATAACACAAAGCTCGTCACGCCCCTCGCGCAGTGCCCCCGAGAGCGTCTGGGCCGCCGCCAGGGAGGGCGGTATCCTCAACTTGTCCCGCGTCTCCCGAGCCGACCAGGCCGCCCTCCGCCAGCGCTTGGGCGGAGCAGTGGGCGACGCCCCTTCCACCTGAGAATGGGTGTTCAAGGTACGAAGCCTGACACCTATCAGGTCGGCAAACCTTGATGCAATGACTGCTTCCCAAAGCATGTCCCCGACTGTGAGCCGCCTGTCACACCCACAGCGGCGAAAACAAGAGCTCTGTCAAACTCAAATGGGCTATTACAGCGATTGGACTGCAACGAAGGGTTCATACAAAGGCTGTGCAAACAATGCTGCGCGCCAGAGGGCGCCGGCAAGAGGATGGGGGGTGGCAGTCGTGGTCTGGGAGGGTCGCGGCCGGGCATTGTGCCGGCCCAGCGGCCTGTCTACAATGAGTTGCCGCGGCAGGCCGCGGCCCCAGCCCGCTCGCTCCCAGACCGGGTCTCTCGGACAGCGAGTGCAACCAAAGGAGCTCGCGCGCGCGCGGCGCTCAGGCCTTGTCCGTGGGCACTGGATCCACGCGGTGGATCTTCTTGTCCGCGGGGTCGGACATGCTGTCGCCGGGCTCGCGCATGCTGGACCCGGGCGGGAGGTAGACGTAGAGCTCGTCCTCGTCCTCCTTGCCCGCCTTGCGCTGCAGATGAACGTGGTGTGGAAGAGCGTTACGGGGACGTGTGTGTGGGTGCACCGACGAGCGCGGCTCTTCCCAGCACGCCTGTATACACCCACAGCAGCTCCCCCTTCTCGCTCTTCCAGCCATGCTCAGCCCCGCATGAGCAAACCCAGCCATCCCGCAGGCCCGTCCAAGCTCCTACCTGCTCCTCCAGCTTGGCCCGGGCCGCCTCGCGGCTGAGGGGCACGGTCGGGGCTGCGTGCTTGTCGCTCACGACTTTTTTGCCCACGGGCGAGTGCACCTTTTGATCGGGACTGCAGATGGGCATGGAACGGCAGGTTGCGTGAGCTTCCAAGGACTCGCGCCCTCCACGCGGGTGGGTCGACAAGTGGGTGCGCTCATCCATTCCGGGACGCACCTGAGTCCGTAGAGGGGGTCCTTCATGCTCGCGCCGGGCGGGAGGAGCTCGTAGACATCATCGTCCAGATCGGAGTGGTCATTGGCCTTGCCCGCGAACAGCCTGTGCAGGGAGGGGGCGCTGCTGCCGGCACGAGCCCGGAGCTGCCCGGCGAACTGGACAACCCGCAGCATGGTCGACTCGCCCTCTGAAGCTTAGCGCTTGATTCCCCGGTAAGCAATCTTCGTTATTCAAATTAAATGGTTCTAGGTTTTGCTGGGGTACCGGTCGGATGCTGGTGTTGCTTGACGCAAAGGTTAGTGATAGCCTGCCACGGGGGACCAGGGTTGTGCTCGGTCGCAAAAGACGCGGGAGAGTGCGCGTGGCCGGTGGGAGCAGATTCTCTGGCATCCGCAGGTGGCCCAGCATGTGAGAGGAGGCAAGGTTTGGCCTGAGAACATTAGGTTGAGCTGGCCACGACTTTTCAACG